TTAGTTATAATGCTGGCCAATTTAGTCAGTATTATGTCCTTTCGGAAAAATGGCTTTCGGGATTTCAGGGTAGAACCGTGAATACCATAACGATGCTACGTACAAAGGTCTTATAAGATTTCGTGGTTATTCAACTTGCAAAAAGTATTACTATTAGATTAACTTACTTATATGATAAAGATATTATTTCTCGTGATTTGTAAGTTATTTTAAATCTTGAATCCCTGATCATTCTTACTTGAATTAATATTAATTTTAAACAATTCACAAAATCTTAGCATTCCAAGAATTTATTGATAAATGATGATAAGCTTTAATTGCGAACTTCGACATATCAAACCAATTAAATAGCTATTCTACTCAAACACAGCAGAGATGTCAGTGTATGTTGAGCCACAGTGCTATTTCGAACGCGAGCAAAAATTAAGCATGATAAGTTTATAGTCTAGGTGTATTATTCTGGGAACTTACAAACGGATATTCTTCATTTAATATTTCTCAATGTTATTCAAAAATTTTACGAAACGAAAGGGAAAAACTTATTTCGAATATAGCTAGATTTCATTAATCTCCAGGAGAAATGTTGGTCTACTGAGCCAGCTGAGCAACCGACGCTGAATAGATCTTGATAAATTATCATTACAGCATTAGAAATGACCGTTAAATTCATCACAGATAATATTGAAGGTATATATATTCATTTTTATGACCTTACAGTAAATATTCCGTCTAAATATTATTTAATAGTCAAATTCTTGATTAAAAGATTCTAATTTATCAAACAATTATTGAAACCATTTCAAATAATTGAAAGTAAACATAATATAAAAATTAATTTTGCAAAAAAGTAATTCTTATTTTCTTTTTTATTTTATTTTATTATTAATATGTCATATCGTAACTCACCTGCACCAAATTTTCTGCTAAAGAAAACCAAAAAATTTGTTGGACTTAGTAGTAGAAGCAGGTAGACAAGGATGTTTTTATAAAGGTCAACCAACTGTACTATTCTGGGGACTCTGTTTTATATTTAGTATGCAAGTTAGAAGCATTCTTATACAAGATAACTGGCAGGAGGTGGCATCTTTGTATAAAAAATTCTGATAATACAAGAGATAGTGGCTTTATCACTAATGAAATCTGCTATATAGTTTGGCTTATATCTGGCTTTGGAGAACAACAAATGAGTTTTTCAATATTTTTCTTTGAAAATTTAGAAGTACTTGATTCTGAAACACTTTCTACCATATTCTTATTATATTTTGGTATTTGTTTTGAAATTTTTTTCAAAAAGTGAAAAATTTAGCATATCTTTTACAAAAGATCAATACAGGTTTTGTATACCAATTTTGAACATTATAGCAATCAAATTCGGACATTATAGCAATCAAATTCTGACATTACAGCAATCAAATTCGAACATAGTAACAATCAAATTTGCACATAGCAGCAATCAAATTCATACATAGCAGCAATCAAATTTGGACATAATAGCAATCAAATTCAGGTATTTTAGCAATCAAATTCAGACAATGATATCTTGTGATCTAGTAGTCCAAACCACATGATGTTGGTACTATTTGATTAGTCTTGTTAAGACAAGTCAAATAGTACCAACATTATGTGATTTGGACCACTAGATCACAAGATATCGCTGTTTGAATTTGATTACTACTATGTTCAAATTTAATTGCTATTATGTCCAAATTTGATTGCTACTATGTCATTTGATTTCTATAATGTTTAAAATTGGTATACAAAACCTATATTGCTTATATACTTAAATAAAAAACAACTATAATGAAAAGGTTATGTTCTATACATCTAAACCTATAATAAATAATATATGGATTTTAAAAGTAAACAAAATTTTTAAATATTTTCTACATAGCAATTAAATATATTTTAATATAAAGATAAAGTTAAAGTAATAATTTTTAAAGCCTTGCACTAGTACAAATAGTGTTTTTATGTTTTTGTTTTTTTTTCTTTGCCCTTCTTTTTTTTTATCTTTTTTGTTTTTTTTGTTTTTATTTAAACTTTGTTTAGGTTTTGTAGCTTTTAAGGCTGCCTGCTGTAATAGATTTGCCAGGGTTGTAAAGTTACAACCTTTTATTTGACAGTTGTAATTTTTTGCTGTAATAGGTGCAATAGTCATAATTCATAAAATAGCTGTAATAGATATAATTGTTGTAATAGTTGTAATAGGTGTAATAGTTGTAATAGAATTAATGGTTATAATAGATGTAATGGGTGTAATGAGTGTAATAGTTGTAATAAGAGTACATATTAATCAGGTTATGTTATTTTTTAATTGTAGTAGTTTAAATAATATAATATGTTAAAAAGTAATTATATCAGAGATAAAATAGAGATGCAAAAATCTATATTTACATTTGTATGAAATTGTCTAACTGTCAGGCTGAATTTGCAATTTTGTTCTACATATAGCATACTTTATTTAGTAAAGAATTTGTTTTCAGTGTAGAAAATTTTGTATATAGAACAAAAATTTTTAAAATTTATCATTAGAGACAGAAAATTGTTATTGAGTATACTAACAAAAATATATTTATTCTTTTTAAAATGTTTAAAATTTATACATCATATTTTATTTCACTATAAAATATCGATCAATAGATATATATTTTTAGTACCCAAAATATCGTATTTGGTTTACTACTCAAAGTATTCCTAAAATATAAAAATATGATTTTATTAAACTACATATATACCATAATAAAGATAAATTATTTTATAATACTATGTATATACCTATGTCTAATATGAATTATCGCTCAATTGTCTGGCAACAATTTCATCCACATCGTAATCATCATTACTTTCTTGTAAGTCATAGTAGTCAGACTCAACTTCGTTAAGCTCTTCATTTTTATAATTTTCAGATATAAAAACTAAAGCACGAAGATCAATAAAAGTTGAAATATTTAAACTTAAGTCTGGTTCATTAGGATAAAGATCTTTAGCAGGATTAGATAATTCAGCGTCATCATCTTCCATTATTGTTTCTTCTTCAAACTCTTTAAACACTGTTTCTGCAATATTTGCCATTATTTCAGGTATTACTTCTATAGGTTGAGCATGACGAAGTTGTTTTACAGGATTTGATAAATTGAACCGATAAACTTTTGCTAATCTTTCTAATCAGTCAATATTTAGTCTTGTTCTATGGTTTCTATAAAACTATCCTAATGATGAAAAAATTCGTTCACAAATAGCAGAACTTGGTGTAATAGAAAAAAGTTTAATTGCTAGTTGTTGTAAATCATTAGGCTTAACTTCACAAGTGTTCCACCACATCAATGGCGTATTACTGCCAATTGTATAAGAGACAACGTAAGGATTTGGATTTTCATTTATAATTTTTTGTTGTTCCTTATAAATACATAATTATGTAATTAAAGCTTCACAATTTTTACTTTGTTTACCATTTGTTTCCATAATCTTCCAGCATAATTAGCAATTAAAGAAAATGTACCAAATTTTAATCCAACGCCTTTATATGCAGAGTGAAAAAAATATACAAGTTGATAAGTAGGATCATTAAATTCTTCAAACCGTCTATTAAATTTTTTAATACAATGGTTACAAAATCCCTTATATTTATTAGCAGGAAGACTTTGTATTGCTGCAGCAATTTTCATCAAATTAATATAACAATTAGCAAGTATAGAACGATTTGCTTCAACTGACAAAATTGCATCTTTAATTAGGAATAAAACTTTTGAGAGATATTGCATATCAGTAAAAAAGCCTTGACTACGAAGAATAGTTAAAATTGCTAAGCTAATAATTTCTAAATAATTTTCTTGAATATCTTCTAAACAAACTTTAAGTCATACAATTGAATAAACACATTCATGTACAGTTGTTTATCTTGTTTCTATGTATGTTTTAAGACCTCCACAACTAACTTGATATTGTAAAATTTTTTAATTTAAAATAGCTGCAGCTCTATGAGATTTTTTAAAAAATTTAACTATTTTATTAGCATGCTGAATCATCCTTTCTGAAAATGTATACTGAATAATATCTTTACTAATTAGATTAAAACAATGCGCAATACATTTAACATTTATAATATTTTTATATTTTGTACAGATTATATGTCGTGCAGATGCTATATTAGCTCCATTGTCGCTAACAAGTGCTGAAATTTTATCACTACCAATATAATTAATAACTATTTCAATTTTACTAGCTAAAAATTCAGCCATATAAGATTGTTCTAAATAATCTCCAAGCTCATAAAAAAATTCTTGTCATAATGGTATTATAACAACAAAATTCCAAACTGATACTCCATTAGGAGCCGTCCAACTATCAAGACCAACAGTAAGATTAGTATTATGTTCTAAAATTCTATCAACTTTATTAATAACCTTTGCTACTTTAATATCTAACAAGCGTCCAGAAAGAACTTCATGTAGTGGAACTTCGTAGCCAGGATTAAGAAGGTTTAAAGCATTTACAAAAAAGAATTATTAATTACACGAAAAGGAATACTGCACATAATGAAGGCGAGTATAAGAGCTTTATTAATCATCAATTGTTTGGATGGTTCAATTCTTACAAAATCATACCAATTACATCAGCAAATTTAATAGGGTGTAATATTGCGCAATAATTTATGAAGCGTAAGAAAACCATAATATTACGTAATAACTTTCACAATATTGCGAAATATATAATTACGAAATATTACATAAGATAATTATGCAATATTACGCAAGAAATAACGCAATTTTATGCAATATAATTCGAAATAATTCAAAGCAGATTAAAAAAACTAATGTGAATTATATCTTCGCCCAAAGTTGTAGAGAAATTAAAACGTCTTAAAATATACTAATACTGTAAGCTGCGCCAAATTTTTTAAAATTATCTTAACAGCCACCTGACCAAATTCAATGAATTTTTTTTTATTTGAATTTTATATATTCCATAGAATTCAAATAAAAAAAAATTCATTAAATTTGATCAGATGATTATCAATATATCTTCGCTCAAAATTTTTAAATA